GCCGGGCACCAGTGGCTCACGCTTGTAATCCTAGCTACTTAAGAGGCTGAGTAGGAAGTGGCGCTGTATGTAGCTCAAGTGGTAGAGTGCTCGCCTTGAGTTCAAGAGCTGAGGGACAGTGCCCAAGCCCAGAGTTCAAGACCCATGACCGACAAAAAAACAAAAAACAAAAAGAGACTGAGTAGGCGCTAGCCTTGAGCTGAAGAGCTTGAGGGACAGGGCCCAGGCCCAGACCAAAAAAAAAAAAAGAAAGAAAAAAAGAAATGTACTCATTGCCTTACTCATGTAACTAACCCCTCTGTACAGCATCTTTACAATAACATTAAAAAAAAAAAAAAGACCAATTAGGAGGAATTAAGTGATGCAGGAGGGGCTGACTTCCTTTGAAGATGTAATTTTTGGATGAGAAGTTTGCAAAAGATACTAAGATTTTCATCCTATGTGACAAGTAGAAACAAAGTAGAAACAGAATACAGTTAAAAATCCAAATCACGAGATAATTGTGGTTTGAGGCCAGCTGGGACAAAAGTTAGGAAGGCCCATCTTAATTAAAAAGCTGGGAGGTAAACAGTGGGAGGGAATCAGTGGGAAGATCATGGTTGGAAGTTGGTCCAAAGCAAAAACACAAGACTCTACCTGAAAAAAACTAAAGCAATAAAGGTCTAGAGGTAGAGTACCTACCTAGTAAAAGCAAGGTCCTGAGTTTACACTCTAGTATCACCAAAAAAAATTCTTTTAAAGAAAAACAACATTCTTTTTCACTTGAAGGCCATATAGAAGCAGGCAGTGGGTCTATGGGCTGCAGTTTTTGCCAATCTCTGGGTTATGAGTGGCCAGTTTGAGGGCAAAAAAGAAAATGATGGTCCAAATCAGTTCTCAAATATCCTAGTGACATCCCTCTAACACCAACCACAAGGTGGGGAAATGCCAACCCTGCGGGGGTCTGCTCTAAGACTCCAGAATTCTCCGAAATACTCCTCTCAGTGAAAATTCACACTTTCAAATCCTCTTTTGTAATGCATGTTCTATTCATGTAAAAATTAGCACTTACTGTAAAAATCAGTGAAGAATGCCTAATCATGCTCAGTGAGGGGGACTGACTTCATCAGGTGGTTGTGCACTTGGGTCCCCAAGTTTCCACATGAGCCAGCGGGCTATGACTGTCCCTTCTCAGCCTTAACCTCATCTCACCTCTGCGACGCATTTCCAAAGTCATAATGGGAAAATAAGGTTGTCTATCCCCCAAATCATCAATTCATGAATAAGAGTATTCATTCCACTGAGCCTTCAGATTCTTTTCATTAGAACTTATTTTCTTCTACTTTATACTTTGTCATCTATCTGTAACTTTATAACCTGTAGCCTGTTCTACATGAAGGGATATTAAGTAAGGAAGGGCTTGAGATTTTTTTTTATATGCCAAGCCTCCATTTTCTCTTGTGATGGATTGTATTCCTAGTTCAGAATTCTCCCTTCTCTCTTGGTGCTTCTCTCCATCTTATTGACCTAGTTAGACTTGGCCATGTGAATCCCTCTCCCAGTGAAATGTGAGGGTGCTAGTTCTGTGTGGAGGTTTTAATGGTATATTACTAGGGTCACACATTTCTCTATAGCTTCTCACTGCCCTAGAGAACACATGTCCCTTCACACATTTGTTCCTTCAGCCTGGGTGCTCACATAAGAAGTCATGTGTATCAGATATATTTTCAGCCTGCAGATTGGAGTTACACCCAGCCAAGGCCAATTCAGCTGGTGCTGGAAACTTCTCAATCTTGGAGGTGATTGTTACTCAGCAGTATCTTAGCACAGGCTGACAAATACACTCCTTTATTTTGGAACCAGGGCTTTGGTATTTTTAGAGACCCAATCCTCTTCTGCTCCTCATCTTTAGGGTTTAGATGGGCCCCACTGTACCCTCAACTTATTCCACTGATTGTCCTTCTTCTAACACAAAGATTCCATGTATCATATCTGGTTGAGCGTTCAGCTATTTTCATGAAAGTTGGCTGGCTGGCATGAATGACTTTTGCTGTTGATTTGCTATGAAGAACTCCTGAAGAAATATTCCTCCTAAGCCACATGATTCCCTACTCTGGACCAGTTTACAACAAAGGTATAGGAGAGCAGAGTGGACTGTGCAATGCCTGATTCCACACTTCTCAGCTGTTTTTGGTGGTGGGAGGGAAATCATGGAAGATCAATGGCAGTTTCACTTGACTGCCCAGGGTGGGGCTGCAGACACTTGGAAGTGCCAGCCATTCGCCCGGGCATTGAGAAAGAGTGGTTTGGACTTCCAGTCACTCAGATGAAAAGCTGGGACTCCTGATGTAGACTATCCAAGGCACCCCTGAAACTTCTGGGCTGGGAAACCCTACAATTACCCCCTAAGTGTTTCAGAAGCAATTTTAGACAATTAAAAACAATGAGAATTTCTTGAAGAAAACATGTGTACCATTACATGTTAGGATTCTGCAACGATGTATTTTTAAAAATAAAATGAAAAACATACCCACTGACTTCAGATATACTTATGTTTGGCTTCGGCATGCACTTCTTTGAAAATACTTCATTGTTCAAACTCTATAGAGGATACTGAGATTTTTTTTCCTCCCACACCCATTGTCCCTACACAGATAACCTCCCCATCACCAATAAACTCCCCTCTGCCCCCCACCAGATACACACAAATGGTGAATCTCACTGACCCAACCTCATACTGAACCCCTCAAGAGTTCCCTCCTGATGCGCACCTCCGGGGCTTTGACAGCTTTGCCAATGTGGTATATCATTGATCGACTAACAAAGTATCATATAGTAGAGACGTCTTACCTAGAATCCCCTACTGTGTCCATCCCTCTCTCTCTCTTCTTGACCCTGACCAGATCTTCTGACTCTCTCCAGAACGTTCCTTTCCAAGAATGTCAGAGAGTTGGAATCACGCAGGATGTAGCCTTTTTAGATGGGTGTCTTTCAGTCATATACTTTCTAAAATAAAGCAAAGGGGGTTCTTAATTGTGTGTGAGTGCACGCACATGCCTGTGTGATTCTGAGGATACCATTTACAGGCAGCTGGGTGGTGTAAGAATTCAGCCTGAGTTCTGCTGAGTGACAGAAAGCCCACCAGGAATTTAAAACAGGAATTCCCAAAGTGGAAAATGAGCTGTGGAGAATCAGAAGTTGATAAACCGCCCTCTTTCCCAAACTTTCTCCTCTGCCCTCACCATCCTATCTTGATCCATACCTTACATTTTTCTCACACCTTCTCAGAGGTCTGGGAACCTTGTCTGCCCAACTGGGTTATTCCTATCTGTCCTGGAGCAAAAATGAAAATGCCCCGACCTGTTAGGTGCTCCTCTAGGTGACTAGGGGCTGGTGCCAGCCCTCCCTTTGAGAAGCGCACAGTTAATAGTAGGGAGAGACTTATACACAAATAACATTTCAGTGAAAATGCAAAAATAGAAACAAAGTGGTGGAAATTCTAGAATGTGGTTCTTCTGAAAGGACTCAAGCCTGGCTCTGGAGATCTGGCTTAATTGGTCTGGGTTGAGCATGTTGTTGGATCATTTTCAAAGCACTCCCCAGGTGATTCTAACGTTAGCCAGGGCTGAGAAATACCCCAGACATACGGAATCAGGGACTGGCGAGGGGGGGGGGGTGTTTGAAGCCAGCAACCGAGTGTTTTAACGAGCCCCCCAGGTCACCATGCTGCACGTTCTAGTTTGAAAACCACTGGTGTGCAGCTCTAAGGCGTGCAGGCTTGGGATGGGAAGGTTCTGGAAGGTTGGCAATTTTGTTTCGAGCGCTGAAGCTGGGCTGGGAGGCTAGGGACTGGTCAATAATCATCTTCCTCCAGTTGTCCCAGGCCAGGGCCTTGCAGAGATAGCTATCCAGTCAGAGCCCGGCCAGACTGCTGGAGGATGGGGAGACCAGTCTTGTCCCACTGAGCCTTCCTCTGGAGCCTCAGTCAGTGGGCCTCTCCTCGCCAACCTAGGAGGCCCTACACCGGCGGGGAAGGCTGAGGCTGCGCTGCCCACGGTGAATCTTTCCTGCAGTTCTCTTCCTGGTAGATTTTAGTTTGTGGCTCCTCATCCCTTCCCCCCAGCCCCCCGCCCCTTTGTATAAAAATATAAAACGCCAGCCAGGAACTGTTCAATCCCATCATCAGGCAGAAACGGCCTCCTCCTTCTTTCCCATTCTGCATCTTGTCATCCTAAACCCTCCTCACCCCCCTACCCACGCTAAAAACAATCCTTGGCCCAAAGCAACCCCAAAGCCCGAACCCCACTCCCGAACCCCACTCATCCCCCCCTCCCCCGCCCCCAACTCTCCGATCCCAGATCACCGACCACCGCGCAGTGGGCCTCCGCACACCCAGCCTCCCCTCCCACGAGCCAACTCAGCAGGGCGCGGGGCACCCCCCGGGGTGGGGGCAGAACGGGTCCCCTCCCCCGTGCCCGCAGCAGCGCCCCGCACCGGGTGGGGGCGGCTTCTCCGAGCTGCCTGGCGGAGCAGTCCCCCCCTTCCCAGGACGGGGGGGGGGGGGGACTGCGGGCGCTCGGAGCGGCGTCGGGTCTGGAGGCTCCTCCCCTGGGGTGGCCGGGCAGGAAGCGGGGAGGGCGGCGGCGGCGGCGGCGGGGGCGCGGCCCGGGGGCGCGCGCGGGGCGTTGTGCGTGCGTGCGTGCGGGGCGAGCGGGCGGGCGGGCGTGCGGGGCCCGGGGCGGCGGAGTATGCACGGGGCCTCGGCGGGCAGCCCCGGCGCACAGCCGCGGCCCGGGCGCGCGGCGCGGGGCGGAAAAGCCTGTTTACACAGACTGCACACCGCCTGGGGAATAATGCAGTAAAGGAAGTGAGCCGGCTCGGCCTGACTGCTCCAACTTCCTGCTCTCACACACACCCGAGGAGGGGAAAGAAAAAAAGAGAGCGGAGAGAAAGAGGGAAAAAAAGAAGGGGAAATCAGGATCTCATTACAAGAGCAACAGACCGCCGGCAGACGCCTGTCAGCATGGAAAGTCGGGGGCTTTCGCCCGGGTCCTCCTAGAAACTCCTCCCGGAGAAGGATCGGGAAAGCCGCCCACCCCTCCCACCACCCCCACGTCTGGGTAAGGAGAACCGGGCTTCCCCGCCTGTTGCTCCCGACACTCCCAAAGTTTCTTCGCTGGAGACGATTTCCATCTTTCTCTGCTTTGGCTGGGGCGGGGGGCGGCGCGGGGTGGGCTGCGGGCCCCCGGGGCGTGTGTGTGCGGGGGTGGGGGGGTTAGGGGTGCGTCGGTGCGGGCGGAGGGGGGGCGGCTGCGGGAGGGGTGCCGCCGGGATGCTGCTGCTGCTGTTGCGCCCGCACCGCCGCCACCGTCCCCACCGGAGTTGGCGTGCCCACGCGCTGGGAGACCCTCTCCTGCGGGGGGACCCTGCCCCCGGGGGGGTCGATGCCCTGGGGGGTAGGGAGGGGCTGCCCCTGGAAGCTCCCTGCGCTGCGGGGGACCGTGTCCCGGGGGGGGGGGAGTGTTCCCAGTTCTGGGAGGGGGGGCGGGCTCCGTGTCCTGGGTCTGCACCGCCAGTCCTGGGAAGGGGCATCGGGTGCGACCTGTAGGGCGCTGTTGGAGACGGCGGGACTCGGGTCCCCGAGCCGGCTGTGTGCCTGGAGGCTGGACCCCCTCAGCTGGGGTTGCGGGGCTGGACGGGGGCTGGGGGGGGACTCCGGGGGTACTCGGATCCAGGGGGGCGGGATGTGGGGAGAGGGGAGACCAGGCATCGGAGTGGGGGGGGGAGCTGCGTCCACTGCCCCTGCTGGGCAGGTGACCCCCGCCCGGGTCACCGCACGCCCCACCTATCGGACCTTTAAAAGCCGGTAGTCGCCTGGGTACGATTTGGCACGGGGGGGGGGGTCCCAGATACAGGGGGCCGATCGCGACTCCACCGCCTCCTTAGCTTCGTACTGAACGCTGGCCTGCAGTGCTACTGTAACTTTGGGGGGGGGGGGAGATGCAACTGGGGGGAGGGGGAGTTAAGGAAAATAAAAGAGATGGGTTCTGTCAACGTTTTCGGAACGGAATCATCCCGGGGACGAGCTGCCGTCGGCGGCGGGTGGGGGTAGGAGCAAGAAATGCTATTTTAGAAACTGCAAAAGGGGCTTTTTAGAAAGAACGGGGGGGGGGGGAGGAAAAAACGAGTGTCGGGAGAGTTTCTGGCTTGTCTGGAAACGGCAAGACTAATTGCCATGCGCTTCCGCTTTGAAACGGGCAGCAGACAGCATCTTGAAAATGACTCACTGAAGGAGCTCACAAAGAAACTGTGGTTTGCTCCTTCTCAGGTTTATGTATTTGTGCCTTTTACAGTTTCCTTTGTAGTGTTCCAGGGTCCCCCCCCCCCCCGCCCCGGCTCCTTCCCACCCCCCCCCCCCCCCCCCCGCCAGCCCCCTACCGCCCTCCCTGCTTTGAAAGTCCCTGGCCCCAATTTAACTCCCCCTCCCCAGTCTCCTGGGCCAGCCCGAGTGGGGACAGACAAGGGGGGCGGTGGGGAGGCCGAGTTGTTTTTGGAGTTGGCTGGGGAGAGGGTTAAAGGGATTCTGCTGCTGGAGGGGGAAAAAAGTTCCCTGAATTTTCCACTAGTTGCTTGCTGCAGGAAGAGAGAGACCCTTTAGTCATTGCTAAGTAATGTCTGCACACACACACACCAACTAATCTCATTAGGAGTTTCCGCTGCTCTACACGGGAGGGGGTTTGTGCAGCCATGGTCAGCCTGTGGGGAGCCCAGCCCTGTGGAGGGAGAAAGACCAGTTACTGCTGCCTTATTGACTTAGAGGTGCTTTCTATTTATTTAGTTTTATTAAACACTCCCAAAGATCCCTTGCAGGGCAAGAGTGACAGAAACTTTGAAGTCACTTTGGCCATTTTGGATTTCAGATTTATAGGCTTTTCATGTGTGTATGTTTTGGATGCCCAAGCTGCTGAACGCCCTCCCCCCCATCTTTTCCTATCTGTGCTTTGTCTTTGTTGGGGAGGGCAGGGAGGAGGCAGGGAAGGTGGGGGGGGGGGGACGGTGGAGAAACTGAGAAGCCCCTGCCTGTTCCAGGCATCTATTAATGAGCTTAAATCGATTTCTGAGCCTTATTGCCCAACAAAATACCCTGTGATCTCTCTCCTCTCTCCCTCTCCGTGGCACACATTTATTTGGAAAAGGTCAGTTATGGGTTTGAATTTATGAGCATTGTAAAATTACAAATTGTGTTAGGAGGACATACGGGTCAGACAGTTAAGGAGACTGTCCATAAGTGTTCTTAGAGTTTCCAGTAATGATCCTGCTGCAAACCCCCTGAGTTAGAAAAGTGATGGCCTTTCTATGCCAAATATAGCAAAGGCCTTCTTGCCTTTTTTTTTCTCCTCCTTTTTTTTTTTGCTTTTAAATATTGCCCAGAAATGTGTAGAAGTTACTAAAAAGGGCAAAGAATTTTAAGGAACCTTCTTGGAACGATGAGGTCCCTTCCTTGACAAGGACATGTCGCCTCTCTTGAGGGTTTCTGAGGTGTTGGCATTTCTTCCACGATGGCAAAGCGTGTCCTAAAAACAGTGCATCCAGTCGGACCAGGGTATGAGTCAGTGGGCAAGAGCACAGGGTGCCCCTCACACCCTCTTTGGAATAGAGTAGGTGCTCAGGAAATTGTGACATTGAAACTATGAGTAAGACAACAAACCTTAGAATGACAGATGGGCTTTGAAGAGCTCCCATCCTTCTGCATGAGAGTTTCAAAGGTTAAGGTTGGAGCTTGTAAAATGGTCTACTCTCAAGTCCATTTCCTTGGACCCAGGGGAGATAATGAGTCCCTCCTTCCAACAAGTTGTTTGGGATATGTAAGGTTCACTTTTAGCTGTGTTTATCTACTAGGAATAATTTTGTCTTCCAGATTTTTTTAAAAAAATTGTTATAACTGTGCTACTAGCCCCAAACTAACAAATAATGAGGATAAAAACTCTCCCATACATTTGTGCAATGAGTAGGGCACACTGATTGCACTTTATATGTACATATATATTCATTTATATTTATATGTATGGATATCTGTGTATATACCCCTCACATGTACACTGCCATGGGGCTGCTTTCCTTTTGTGAGCTAAATTACCCATCTGTGGACTCCCCCCCCCACCAGTGTTTTTATGCCCTTCACACTCAGATCATTTAGATGGACAGTCCTGAACAGGTGCTGGACCACAGCTTTCTAGCCCCAGTTGAATTTTGCAGGTACTTCAACATTTTGAAGACCTCTTCCTTTCCTTATTCAAGAAACAAAATAATTCAGAAACTGCTCGTACTCAGTAGATATTTGAGATTGTGTATTAAAATTTACATTTGTAATAACTTTGTGGATCTTGCATCCTTTTTTCTTCCCCCCCTGAAAGTGGTTTCAAAGAACTTCCAGGCAGTATGTATAAATGAAAACATTGCTTCTTAGCGGTCAGATACTGGATTTTGTTATTCTGTGCCATCTAATTATATTTATATATTTGATCAGTTCAGAAGACCAGTCTAGGGCTATGAAATGCAACAAAACATGACCTATTAACAAATCCAAAATGCTTAATAAAAAGTTTTACCAAAGGGGGTGATTTCCTCGTGTAGTCTTTCTCCATTAGTCTTACTAATGGCTATAGTTTGCTGTCTTCAAACCTGGGGAGTTGACAGTCATCTCTTGAGTTTCCCAGGTTCCTTGTTGCATGTTGGGTAATGGCTGTTTATTTTTATTTTGCCCTGGTAACTAGCTTCTGGCCCCTTATGACCTCCCTGGGACCACTTACCTGAGTAGGAAGGGTGACTTATGTGAAGGACCCCATTCCTGTCATCCTCCTGCATGTGTCAGGGGAAATTTTTTCCGGTCATAGTTATCCATACTTCCTTTTTTGTCTTCATAGGTTGATTTATAGCATACTTGGAACCACACTAGCCTAAAGGTGTTTTTCTAAAGGTTGTTTTTTCCTGTTGTGTGAAATGTCAGCACAAATTATCCTTAGGAAAATATAGAAAACCACCATGGAAAAATAAAATAAAATAAACAACTATAATCCTACCATTAACATTTTGGTGTGTATTTTTCCAGTCTTTTGAAATGCATACGCGTGTCTATACACAGAGAAACATGCGCACGTAAAAGTTTTATTTGCAGTCACACTGTGCTTACTGTTTGGGAACTCATTTTCACATAACACACCGTGGAGCACGTTAGAATAATGTGTCCTGAGACCAAATAACCACCCAGAGCGCTTGTATTCATTGATCTCATAAATGGAGTGACTCAGTGATGCATTGACATAATTTCTACATGGGCATGTTAGGTGTTTTTGTCTTTTGTGGTCCCAAGTCATGCTCAGAGAATGCTGGCCTCTCTCGAAAGACTGAATTCCTGTGTGCTGTGAAGTTGGGATTTTGATGAGTTTCTCTATGATTTAAGAATGAGTCATGCTTCTTAGTAGAGTATCAAGATGTAGTAACAGGAAGTGCAAGGCACTTCAAGTTGAATGGTAAATGATGAAAACTGAGAAACAGAGTTAAACCAGAAAATACACCTTGGGTTTACCTGACTCTGAAGGCTACCGTGCATTTGTACATACTACAGACAGTTCTGCCTGCTGTTCTTTTATCCCTAGAGTTTCCAAACTTTGACATTGGTGTTTTAAACTGAACGTTAGTTCAATTACAATTGCCCATGGCCAGTTGGAATTGAGGTCATTTAATGGTTTGGTTGATACCAGGGCAGTGATGAGACTATGAAGAGTCTGGATTTACCTGCACACTGAAAGTACAGCCCAGTGACCAGAGTGTCTGTGAGTTTGTTTACACTAAGCACTAAAGGCCTGCAAAATAGTCAGTCTTCAAAGTAACTCTTCTTTGCAGAAATTTAACTGTCTTCTGATTCTTACCCACAACTGAAATGAAAATACCTGGCCTCCAGTGTTGGCAATTAACATTCACATCAGCAGTTTTCAGTTGCACTTTGAAAGTGGTCATTTCAGCGAATTGTGATTTAGTTTGCATTGTCACTTGGAATGAACTCTGCCTACTTTCTTGCTAGGTGTTCCTTTACATTTCCTGGAAAGTCTTAACTAAAGTT